GTAGAGGCCTAATGAGGTGATGAGGATTGATGGAGGCTTCCATCTACCAGCAAATGGTGAGGAGTTAGTCAGCTGTAGTATCTTGACCATGTTCCTCTTAGGGCTTAGTTGAGTTTTCAGTCAACTTCAGTTTTCCTCTGATTCCTTCTGCCAGTGCCAACATAGATCTCGTTAAATTAGCAGCAACCATTTAAAGTCTTTGCAACAGCATCTGCATGATAATTGCACAGAGATGCTTTCTAGCTGGGAAACAGGCCAAGGAATAAACCTTGAAGCAAAGTGTATTAAATTAGTTATCTCGTTAGAACTTTGTGAATAATTTCCTAATGATGAATTAAGTTTGAACTCAGAGCTGTCAAGTCCCATTGCTCCACTTGGATGTGAGAAGGGAGGGAAAAGAATCTGTCCCTGTGTCTTACTATTCAGCTGCTCTCGGCTGAAATGTCTACTTCTGTTTCTAGAGTGAGCACAGGAGAGTTATTGCATCAGAGAATGTAGAGCTGTGATTGAAAGAAAGGAGATGATTAAGCAAATGGTTTTTATGCAAAGATGCATCATAGGTGTCTTAGAAAAATACTAATTACAAAATGGCACCAAAAATCCTTTCCATATTAAATCAGTGCCTATTAATGAGCCAAACGAGTGGCCATGGAGTAAACAGTCATTTCCACTCACCTCCTACCGTGCCTGCTATGGTAGATAGAGGCCAATGTGACTCACTTTTTCCCTTTCATTGTCAAAGAATGGTAATTTAAAACTTCTCCTTTCATCTGACTTCAGTGTGTTTTTTCCAGCTAGATTTTATCTTGACCAGATCTGCTAATACCATAAATGAATTGGGCTGGTGCATGTCTTCAGAGGTTCCCTTGCACCCCAGCTTGCAACCGAACCTCAGCATGCCGATGCTTTATGATTGAAATGTGATACACTTTTGTAGGGGAAAAACTGAACCTGCTGACTTTGAACCTGTTGTAGTTTTATCACACCGAAATTGCTTGGGCAGCATTTCCTAACCTGTAGGGAGTGACAGGAAAATGCATTTTGCATCCAATTTTATTAGTCATAGCAGGAA